CCCCAGATACTCTCTCACAGAACTGCTGCCTAGCCAGCTGTGAATTCTGTGTAAAGTAATATTCCTAAACACAATTTGAATCCCATCTACACTAAAATGCATTGTATAGATTTCACACCACTTGAATTTGTCACGAGCATACAATCCATGTGTTTAGTAAGAGCATTATCTCAACACACAGAAGTGAAAACACCAAAGGCTTTGTGACCCAGGAGAGACTCTGCTCTGAATGCTCGTCTTTTGTCCCTCCATGACGAGGAGAAGTTGACCATACCCACGTCCTGCCTGTTTCTAAACGTTGTGAGTGGACGCGCTCCACCCCTTTTCAGTGCTCTGCAACTTTTCCCCTCCCTGCAGGCTCTCGGTTCCCTAAATGCTGTAGGACACACTCCATCAGGCCCAGCCAATCTGAAGACATTTAAGTCATCTGTAAGCTTTTTCTCTGCTTAAACTGAGTTCAAAGTAGAGGAAGGTTTTCCAGTACAGAAAGTGAAGATCCTAATAAATTCAATATTTGCAGGGTAACAGAGTTGCCCTACCGAGTTTTTAAAGAGGAGCATCAAAGGCCTTTTCAGACCACCTCATGTGAATACTGATTAATCCCTCGATGACGGATGGGGCACTGCAACACAATGGCAAAGCACTCCTTTCTGCTGAGAGGCCGGAGACTTGCAGTAAGCTTTGCCATAAGTGCACCAGCAACTCTGTGGAGAACAATAATCTCCATGCCCATCATAACACCACACACCTCCACGGCAGGCTCAGCCCTTTATTTACAAGGGAGTTTGTCATCCTTCTTGTGCGATGAGCAAGTTCCAGAGCACAATGGTCACTGTCACATGCTCCCTGTGCTGCAACTGGCCTGAGAGCCACAGCGATCCAGGAACACAGCCTGTGCCACGCTAAGCCTCTGTCCCCTGTCAGTCCTTCTTGGCCATGCCACTATCCCCCAACACTGCCTACCTGAACACAGAATAGATGTTCAAAAGAGATTTCCATGAGAAGTTCCTTCAAAATACTTTACTTCTTCCTAAAACCAAAGACTTGAATTAAAGGCAACATCATAAACACACACTAGGTGCACGTACCTTTGCTTACTGAGAGCCACCAACACCACACCATGAAGCTGAAATGCTGCTTTTAAGGTGGAAGATAAGGCTACAATACCACCAAATTTGAAGGGATCACAAGATTCAAGGAAGGAACCAAGGGAAAAAAAAAAAAAGGAAGAAAAATAGGCTAAGCATTTTTGCTGGAATGACCCTAAGTCCTAGAACTTCGGTAGCTCCGGGTGAGCCCCCTAGAGTACAAGAGCCCCGGAGGCACAAGGTCACACACTGCAAAAAAAAAAATGGTTTTGATCATCACTTACTGTATAAAACCTCAGTTATGTCTGGATGCACTGGTTCAAAGGATTTTTGTTAAGCCAGACCTTGGGAGTGCAACTATTTCAGATTAGTCATTTTAGGGAACTGCATACAGCAACACTTTACAAAGTCTTTTTGCTGCCTAATTACAGAAAGGTCTAAGAAGTATAAAGTATTAAAATTCTTCTCTTTGCCAGACACTTTTGAAGCCCAGCTAGAGGTGGCAGGAACTGAAAAAAGTTAAGCACGCTTTAATCAAAAAATTCCAATTTAGGGTAACACAGCCTGATTGCTAAAATATATGATTAATTTAACCGACAGACTTCCCTTCCTGCTTGCTGTTGTGCTAATGGCCTTGACTCAACTGAAATTTTTTAGGTCTGCACACTGTTTGCACACCATGCATGGGATGGTGGGTGCTTAGCTGCTATCAGTCTCTATCTAAATCCACTCCCAAAAATGTAAATTTATCTCCTGACCATACAATAACTCATTACAGTTTGGCACATTTTAACAGGAACACACCACCTTGCAGAGCACAAGTTAAACAACACCCTGGCATTCGTGAAGGATTCTGAGCAGAACCACGTTTCTGCCAACTTCGCTGCCTTGCATCAAATCTGACAAGTGAGGAGAAGCCGCGCTTCCACTGCCCGTACGGAAACGAAAGACCCGTACTGCTGAGCTGCTATCGTGGTCACTACAGAAGCCACACTGCCAGAGCTACTTACACTGCAGAGCAAAACCTAAACCACCCCTGCCTCATCAAAAAAGCCTTTAATTCCAAATAAATTCGAAAAAAAATCCCAAAGAAACTCCCCGCTACACAGATTGCCTCACCAAGTGCAGAACTCAGTAACTGTGACCTTGCTCTGTTTAAGTTACAGCAACAACCGCCCCGTGTTTGTGTTTTTCCAAAGCCAAGAAAAAGCTGTACCCATGCACGAAGCAGCAGCGTTCTGCTGGAGAGAGGTGCTTCATGTTTTAGCTCTGCTTAACATAACCAGCTCTTTTCCAATCTGCTCAGGCAAATGAATAAAGCATGCCCTGAAGTACTCTTCACAACCAAACCAATTCAGCAGCCACATAGCTAACTTCAAACATCCTGTAACAAAACATTAAAGCAAAACAGCTACTTCTAACTCTTGATTCAATAGTTTTTGTTCAATAAAGTTTTTTTTTCTTTAGTGAAGACAAGAACTTCACTGACATCCCACACTGAGAAAACTCACAGATCCAACCACAGTATTTTTCTTTATTAAAAAAATCCACACTCCTTGAAATGTTTTCAGCATTTTGTAAAAATGCTAGCAAAGATTATTTTTCTTTAGTGACTTGATTTCCTGGTTTAAAAGATGAAAATCAGGAGGCACTAACACCAAGTACAAAGCACTCACATCTGTGAGCCGAGGTGACCGTAACCTGCAAAAACATTCTCAAAGTAACGTGTTTTTTCTAGTAACTCACAAAGAGTCCACTTACACTTGGCTTGTGATACTTATAACATCTGCATGCTCCTCTTTCTTATTTCAGAGACATTTGTAGAAAAAAAAAGGGACTTTTTTTTTTAAATGCCATCTGTTCCCTGCATATTTTCACTTCAAGTCCTAGTATAATATCTACAATGGAAACTTCTGTGTCACATAGGATTAAGACTACAAACCAGATGTATAAAATATGCAGAGGTTGTGCTTCCTTACAAATAGCTGTAAAAAACAAACGAGGAAACTATCACCTAAAGCTTTTCTGTTCTAAACACAAAACTTTAAAAAGTTATTTTATGGTAGCTTTCTCTAGAAATGCTCTGAACTAATGCAAAAGGAAAAACCGCCCTTCAGAAATTCAGTAATTTTATTTCCTCTTTCCAGGGCTCCACACCTGCTTCTTTCCTGAGTCAGAGACTGGAAGTTTGGAACGCCAGACTCCAAATGCACGAGCACAGGGAACCTTTCGCTCGAAATACCACCCGTATATTCATTCACAAAGTAACATTTGCACAAAGCCTTTTTCATAAACACCTCAGCTCTTTACAGCAGCAACGTAACTCCCCGGCAAACTCATCCGTGATGGCTCTCCAATTATCTCAGGTGTTTTCTCACCTCCGTGCCTCCCGCCCCCTCTGCTGTTTACATACCTCACGCAGCCACTTCCAACCTTCCCGAATATTATCGGCATTACTAACACTTGTGTCACTCGCACCTTGGGGGCTGGGAAGGAAACGCTGACTTACCTGGTCGCGTTAATATAAAACGTTTTTGCAGCAGCGCTTTTAAAAGCTTCTGCCATCGCTTACAAGGATTTCAACAGCGACTGCTCGGCAAGAGCCGTTTACGAACTCCCGGCTCGTACAGACAGCACGGAACTGCTGAAGTTGCTCCAATATAGTTCGTTATTAAACCGAACTCAGTTTAAAGCCTTAAATAAATGTCTGAAAGGCCGGGTGAGAGCGCAGCTGGTCTAACCGAGCCTAAACACTGCTGTTTACGTGAAACCACCAGGACTTCAGGCTACCTGGGCGCGCAGCAGCCTCCCAGAAATAACTTTGAGGGCGGAATATGGGAAGCAAAGCCCCCTCCTGCTCGTTGCTGGCACCTGACGCCTTCCCCAGCCCGCAGCGAGCCGGGGACACCCGGCCCGGGCTGCCCGGAGCACGAGGTGGCTGCACGCAGCCGGGAGGGGGACAGGGACACACAAACCCCATCCGCCAACCCTACAGGAATGCCGTGGACAGCCCGATGACCCCATGTTGTTTTTTTTTCCCTCCCCCCTCCAAGCACGGCTCGCCCAGTTTCGTTTCCAACTCGCCACCACCGCAGCCCGGGGCGCTCCGCCCCGCAGCAAGCCCCGAGCCCGGCCCCACGGGGACTTTACCCCCCCCATAACCTCCCCCCCCGAGCCCCACAGCCCCCTCACAGCCAGCCGGGACCCACCCCCTCAGCACGGCCCGGTGAGGAGGGGGGGGGGGGGCAGCCACAGGCCAGGGACGTGTCAGGCGCCGCAAACTTTCCGGCCGAGCAGGAAACAATAACCACGGAGCCTCGGCCCTGCCCCGGCCCTGCCCGGCGGGGCGCTGAGGGCCGGGGGACGGAGCCCAGAGGGGTCCCGGAGCCGCCCCCCCCCCCCCCCCCCCTCCTCCCGCCTCACCTCACCTCAGGCCCGCTCCCCGCCACCTCCCGGCCCACGGGAGGCCGAGCCCGGCCCGCTCCGAGGGGGGGCGCGGAGGGGTCGGGCAAGGGCTGGTGGAAGAAACCGGGGGTGTGAGGGGTTGGTGGGGGCGGTGGGAGGAGGGGGGGGTCGGGCTGGCGGCGCACTCACCGGCCGGGCCCCTCTCGCTGCCTGCTGCGGCCCCAGAACCATAACAAAGCTCTGCCCAAAATGGCTGCCCGGCCCTGCCCGGCCGGGGGCCGGAGGGGGCGGGGCTTCATGGAGCGAGGGGGCGTGGCCAACGAGTCGGAAGGGACACGCCCACTCCCCCCCCCTCCCCGCCGGCTCCTCCGCTGGCCAGCGCTTTGAGAGCCTTCCCGCCGCTCCCAGCGGGGAACTACGAGCCCCACAATGCACCGCGGCCGCGCGGCATGCTGGGGGGTGTAGTCCCCGCCCGCCGCGGGTGTGGACAAAATGGCGGCCTCCCCCTCCCCTCCTCCTCCTCCTCCTCCTCCGCCTCCCTCCCTGCCACGCACGGCTCGGGCCCGTCCCCGCCCGGCGGAACCAAGTGCCCCGTGCCCGTTGCCGGCCGGAGCCGAGCCCCGTTGGAGCGGGAGATCCCTCAGGATATCCGGCGGCTGAAGCGGGGCGTGAGGGATGGGGCAGCGCCTGAGGGGCGGCTTCCACAACGGCCGTCGGCTTCAGCGGGCCCTGCTGCTGTAGGGTCTCCACAGAACAGCCATGTTTCGCCTCACGCAGCGGTGCTGCTTCCACACGCCCTTCGGGGTAAGTTTCTGAAGCTTGCTGTGCTCTCTTGAAAATAACGAAGCGCCTGGCTGGACCGCTGGGGAAAATAAGTTGAAATATCCACGTGTTTGTCACATTTTCCAAGCAAATTCCTAATTTTTAGGATGGCTCTGGCCAAAGCTAACTTTTTAGAAATAAAATTTTGGTGTCTAAAGTCTCCTGTTCTTGTTACAGAGTAGTGAGGGGATGGTAGCAATTCTCTGTGGTCACATTGCCCTGCTTCCACTTCATATTCTTTTCCAAAAAGGCCTGCTATGCGTTAAATTAAAAATGCTCAAAGAACGTTTGTGTAGGTGGAAGAATAAGTGGATATACTGACCTTTCACGTTGAGTAAGGTCTGTGTGCTCACAGTGAAGAGCCTTGTTGCTCTTTTTTCAGCTACTTGTGCAAGCTGTAGCAGCTTCATCTGTTAAATTAAAAACGTTTGAAAGCCAGGAGGAAGGGCAGCTGTGATGTGCTCTGAACAGGAAAAGTACTCAGCACAGTATTTCTTGGATACTAACTGTAGTTGTATATTGCGTATATTGTAAGGTGTTCAGAACAAATTTTATAATTGCAGCTCCAGAAGTTAACCGGTCTCAGACTCCTACTGCATGGGAAGAATAAGACAACTCGCTCTTCTTCTAGCCTCTTTCCACAGAGGGATGCTTGTCTTCTCTCCAGATGTCCAAGCCTCAGCAGAGCATCAGTGTACGCAGTCAAGCTCCAGGCTTTTCACACCTCTGTTCCTCTCCTAAAGAAAAAGCCCCCCCAAGAATCTGAGACCCAAGAGTTGGGCCGGTTTCGACAAAGTATGAAATCACTGAAGGATTCTCCAAAGCCAGCCCTTTACTTAAGCCTGGCGGGGCTTATTCCATTTGTTTCTGTGCCGCTGTCGATGGTCGTCCAAGGGACCTACTACCCAGAGCTGGCGTTCACTCAGCTTACCTATGGTGCTGTCATCGTCTCTTTCCTAGGAGGAATGAGGTGGGGGTTTGCTGTCCCGGAAAACAGCCCAGCTAAGCCAGACTGGATGAACCTGGCTAACAGTATGGTGCCTGCTCTAATTGCCTGGCAAGCCTTGCTTTTTAAAGATATCACTGATGGTGCAATAATGCTGGTAATGGGCTTAGGGATAGCACTGCATTATGACCTTTCCCTTCTTCCTACTTATCCTAGTTGGTTTAAAGGACTGAGAATAGTGGCAACGCTGGTGGCGGCATTATCACTGTTAGCTACTGTAGCACTGAAAGCTTACTCAGAGAAGAACCTAATCATCAGCAGAAATGGATGGCAGGACCCAAAACAATAAAGCGAGAGGAAAAAGCTGTTTATCTGCTAATAAGGTATTTGTATGGAGGTCCAGGGAAAGTAAAGACTTAATTATGCTTATGTCATAAAATGGCATTAATCGAGATGCTTATTTTGAAGCAAGTAAGTTCATAGCAAATTAGGAAGGAAGGATTGCAAATACTGATCATTTCCAAGGCAGGCATGAATCTGCTGTTGCCTGTAGAACAAAGCATCGCTCTTCAGTGAGGTAAGATGTCACTGTCATATTAATTTAATATGGAGATTCATGTAATACAGGTATGAAGTGCTCTATTCTGAATGATTAAAGTACCTGGTTTAACTATAACATGTGCTAATGTTCTGTGGTAGGGAAAACAACCATAGAGTCGTAAATGTGTTCCAAACAAGGTGAATGAAGTTTAGCATTTAAAGAAATGCAATTGTGCAGAAATACACCTTCAATTCCTACTTTGTGGAAATACAAGAAAAAAGAGAGACAAAACTTCCCTACCTTATTTCAACTGAGACGTTTTAAATGCTGTGTGACTGAGCACTAGTCAGGTAAGAAGGGATATGCAAGGCACAGGCAAGGTTTGTTTGCAGTGGCAAGTCAAGGTCAGCATTTCCCTAAAATGTCATTCAGATGCTGTGATTTAGTAGGGACAGCTAGAGGGGAAAACTACCTTCAAGCACCACAAGAGATGAAAGGTGAGCTTACTACTTAAAGGAGAGCCGGCCCTTCTGTTTCTAGATTTTGTTTGGACTGAGGGTTACTTAAGTGAGGAAGCTGCATGCAGTCATGAAGAACCATCTTATTCCTCCTGTCAGGTGATGCTTGGTATGATACGACACAAGGACTCTTGCTAGCGCTAAGGGATCAGCTGATAAAATTGACAAAAGTTTGCGTGTCTTCCCTCCTCAACTCCAGTTTTATTTGAACAACCCGGGCAGGTACAAACAGAATTGCCCTATCCTGTGAACCCTTTGTGATTGACTGATTATTGAAAAAGACTGCAGGAGCATATTCTCTTCCTAACATCATTTAGGGGAAAAATCAACAGCAGGAGTCATGCTCATTTCCTTTTCCAGCTGCAGCTACCTCAAGAAGAAAAATATACCCTCTGTGAGTTTATTTACTGGAGCTTTTTTATCCTACATATTAAGTACAGTGTAAGATACAAGAAAAAAGCTGAAATGTGACATCTGTACATGCTCTTAGGACCGATTTAGTTAATCCTCATAGCTGTCTTAGAACACCCTTCTTCAGAGGTGTTCAATGAAGAATGAATCATCTACCGTAACTTAAAATTTGTCATTCTGCAAAAGAACAGTTTAAGAAACCTGCCTATCCTCAAGACAGAGATACCTGCTTATTGCTGAAAGAGCAGCTTGGTACATGAGCATCTAACTTTCATACCCTGTTGACTTGTACATGTTAACAGCGTCATAGCCTTGAATTGGCAATACAGTTAAGTGTTCTCTGAATGTAAACAAAGTAAAAATGAGTTCGTGACTAAAAACAGTTTTTATTTTTTAGAGTATTTTTTTTTAAATAGATCCAGACAAGAGTACTTACTATCTTTGGCCTGAGTCAGGGAAAGATGTGATGAATATCAGAGACCATAATCAACTGATTTCCACGCTTCACAGAAACATCATAAAATTGACCATAAAAACTGGAGAGGGTAACTTCATACTAACAGCAGATTCCCTCAAGCTACTCTAAACCAGGAAGCTTACTGAAAGGGATGAGAAGTGAACGTGTAGTTCCCTTATAAAATACACTGAAGGTAATGTTTCTCAAATGGCTTGTGAAGGATCCTGAAACCTAAATAAGAAAAGTTTAAGAAGTGTTACCTATCATTTGATCCCAGAGATGGCTGCATCATCTTTTTCTTTTTTTTTTTTTAAATAAAAACCCAGGAGTGTTTAACTACAGAAATATGTTATTTGCAGCTTTAAAGTAGTCAGCATTTGTAACCAGTGGGATTTCCAGTTAAAATAAAATAACCTAGTAGGTGGAAGTAGCAACAATACAACAGTGATAGGAAAGCACCCTATTCAAGAACATTCCACACTAAGTTACAAAAATGCATTTTATTACGAAAAACTGTTTAAAACAAGCTTAAACTTGAAAGACAATAGACACACCTAGGAAATCATTTTGAAATAAAACATATACAAAATTGAGTGATCTGAGAAACAAATACTCTCTCTAGCATGTTTTAGTCTGGCAAGCTCCCAGCTCTGTGTTAGAATGTAACACAGATTGATTCTTAAAGTACCTGAAACACTCACTCTGGAGGCTTTGCTCGTATATTAATTTGTTAATTGCACAAACGGGATATTGACTTAGACAGCATGAATGCCTCTTTGTCTCCATAGTGCAGGCTTCCTGTTTTGTAACATTCCAGTTGTGGTTTTGTGTTCTAGAGTAACACTGTCTATCAAAAGTTCAAGCAGCCTTATTTCAGTCATCTATAGCTGTGCAGACAATGCAATCGTGTTGTGCAAAAAGCAGCTTCAAGTACAATGCTCATTAGATGAATCTAGAAGTAACTCCAAACTCCTGCAAGAACTGTTCTACTAGGTGCATCCATGCTAAATGCAAACTCATTACAACAAGACACGCTGATGGCATCACTTCAATGCTAAATTCAACTAATTCTATCACAGAAAGCTCCAACCACTCAAAATTTGGAAGAGGCAGGACACAAGATGTAGCAAGGATGAACACGTGCACCTTGCATGTATTCCAATGCTGAATCTTGGCATGAGTCACACAGGGTAAAACACAACTAAGGAAAAAAAAATGGGCAAGAGGCTTTCCCTAGATTTTTAGTTTCAGAGCAGTCCTAACTGCAGGACAGCTAATCTAATGAACAGCATTTCCATTTAAAATCAAAGTTTACAGAAAAAAAAAAGGAGCTCTACTCTCATTGCTGACACTGAAGGAAAAAAAAACCAAACTGTGCTAAAGTAGAATGTCATTATTAGAACTGCAAGGAAAAACTACAGAACAGGAAATCCTCAGCCACTTACCATCAGTTAGTGGGGTGGCAGGGAAGTAAACATCTAACCCACATTTAATGCCCATGCCTAGTAGCAGAAGAGAGGCTCAAATGCATCTAGGTCATAAGCAGTCTTCCAAGTCTTCCCCACCTCTCATCTCTTTCTCGTTTTCTCCCAGAAAAGGACAACTAATGCTAACCAAGTAACCAATCTGCTACTATCATCAGGTAACTCCTAGCCAACCATAGCAGCCTTCTTCTGGATTGTACGACCAGCTAAAGATGCTAACCTTAGTGCATCTTAGGGAATGAATATGATTAATGTCTCTAGCATGCTGGAATGATTTCTTCAGATTTTTTACAGGGCAAATTTGCCATTTAAGTGAACTTCATCCAATCATCAGAGACATTCCTACCTTTAACAGAGTACTTCCTGAAACAGAAAGCCAATTTACTTTGATGGGCAAGACTTTTAATATTTCCTTTTGGCTAGGAAAAGCTCTCTCATCTAATTCTCCACTGTCTTCACTGAAGCTTCTGCTGCCAGAAGGTTTCTGGCCCATGAAACTGGAAGTCTGAGGAGACACGTGTTCACGCATTCCTTGCATGAATTTTCTTCCTTGTGCTTTACAGCACAGCTACGCCTCCTTCGCAGCGGCTGGTGATCATGTTGGCAATTTCAGTCCAACTGTCCATATGCGGGTTATAAACTTCAACAGAGTCAGAGGTTACTGGAGCAGCGAAATCGTGACTGGGAGCTCGGCCTCCTGAGGCATAAAGAAATCCATTCACGGCCACAACACAGACACCAGCTCTTGGTATCTTCATTGGTGCAACTTCAACCCACTTTTCCTAATGAGAAAGAGTCAACAAGTAGTTTTAGAGTAAGCCCCGATTCTGCTAAAAGTAGCTTTTAAAGCTTAAACAATTGAAACATATGCAAAGAACACTACGCAAACACATCACAGGCTCAAATACAGTATGTGTACAGCACAAAGAGGATCATCAATACTGTAATGACAACATTTTTGCAAGCAGCCTGCATCATGCTAGTTGCTAAAGAACAAATCGCTTACTGCCTACATGCAACACCCCTTCTTTTCTTCTGTCACAGCATAATGCAGTCTGTCTCAAAAAAAAAAAAAAAAAAAAAAAAAGCCCCACTAGAATAATGTTCTGCTTTTAACCCTGGCTACTGTTCCAGAGAACATCGTATAAACATGAGCAGTAACAGCCAGGATTTATTTTGTGTTCAAAGTGATTTTTCACACGGTGAAACACCATTGTAATTTTGATGCAGAAGACACAGTTTTGCAGCAAAGGGCAGCTCTTACTTTTTCAGTGTTTTTTTTCTCTCTCTCGTCAAAGGACTAACCGTTCTACTAGGGGGAAATCCATCTCCCTACCTTAACCATAAGCTACCATAACCATAAATACCAAGTATTTACCAAGCTACCAAATATCTACACGGTGAGCTTTCAGTTTCTGAAAAGCATGCATACAACCTTCAGAAACACTCCACTCTGAGTCAGATCAGCAAAATTCTGCAGACTGGTTAGGACAAACAAACCCTGAGGTCACTGAAGCTTTGTTTCACTCGTACTACCAGCCAGCAGTGAAAAGGAAAACTCAAAATTTAAATTTTTATCTTTTTAAAGAAAGGAAGCAGCCTCTCTCTATAGCATCTTACACAGCATTGATTCAATGTGCATTTCTGAAAGGAAGGGACTCTATCATACCTCTTCAAAGGAGTATCTTTCTACAGTAGCAAGAGCGTCTTGAGATTCGTTCCAGCCTCCCACAGCGTAGATAGAATCGTTGAGAGCAACTACACCAAGATAGGCTCTTCGGGTGCCCATGGGAGGAAGCTCAGACCAACGTTTTGATATTGGGTCATAGACTTCAACAGAACGTAGCTCTACTCCTTCATTGCTGATACCGCCAACAACATAAATCAAACCTACAGAAACAAAGTTTTTCCTCTATTAGGTTTCAAAATAAAACAGTTTGAAAGACAGAAAAATTCTTTTCACAACACCCATTTCAGTCTGGCATTACAAATCCCAAATAAAACCCTCCACCTGTCCAGAAGGAGCATACATAAAGTCCTCAAACAAGTAGATAGGAGGATCAAGCACTAGAAGCTCTGATGAAAGCAGTCATTAATCAAGTGCAGGGTGGAGAATTCAGAAGGCTACAATTGCTGACTAGGCTTGGATCAAACGCTTAATAAGCACATTTACAGATCAAGTATTTAGACACGGTTGTCCTAGGATAACCTGTGGCAATTCTTCCGATTGTCACAAACACGGGAAATAAATAAAAGCAATACCAGGGAGAAAATCAACTGTTAATAGATTAGCTGGATAACCATACTGACAGTCACATGGAAACTACTTTCACGAGGTAAATGGCAGAAAACAGAAAGAACTTTATAGTCTTTAATTTCTGTAGAAATAGGTACTAGAAGGACAAATAAGTGAGGCACAAGCTAGTGCAACTGACAGCTCAGGACAAGACAAGGGTAAGAAATTCCTGACTGAAACACAAAGCTTTAACATCTAACATCTCTCAGGACTGTTTCTGGACACAAGGTAACAGTACTCACCTTGCATTTCACAGCACCCGAAGTAGTAACGGGGCACAGCCATGCTTCCCACCACATCCCAACTATTTTCTTCAGGATCAAATCTTTCAATTGTATTGCCAATCTCTGCTCCAACCCAACCTCCTGCAAATGACAATAAACACGGGGAAAAATTTAATGGCATGAAGCTATGTTAGCTGCATTTTTAGACATAGTGTGTCCTGCAACAGTAATTCAGAAACCAGCATGCATTCTACTAGGGAAACAAGTGATAACTGAACAGTAACTATTCCACAAATACTTGGTGTGCTAACGCTCATTTAAACAGCTCTTTTTCAAAACTTTAAAGCTGCACATTTGCAACACCATAAATGGCTGCACAAGTTCCATGAACTATCACTTAAAATAACTTCACCTAGAAAAAAAAGTTACCTAAAGCATAGATAGCACCATAGCATGTGCACACTCCCAGTCCACAACGAGGATGGTTCATGGAAGCCACAGTGGTCCACTGCTTAGTGACGGGATCATAACATTCAGTACAGTCAAAAATCATTGAGTCCTTCTCACCTGCATATGAAGAGAAAGCACAGAGACAGGGGAATCACAATGTTTAGCACTGCAGACACAGAAGCATTCAACTCCTTTTTAGACAATGTTAAAATACGATTTTTCTTTCAGCTAGCCAAGTAGCAAAGACTTTAATTTTACTCAGAATTGAACTGTCATGAGAAACAGCCTTCATCAATAGTTTTCTGAAACATTACTGAAAACAAAGGAGTGAACAACCACAGTACTATACACATTCTATAGCACAAATGGCAGGGTTTTCAAGACCAAAGAACGTGTTCTGTGGTGCAGAACATGCATTCTTTAACGATTGCCAGGCAGAGCTACCCGTCACATCCTTGTGCAAACGTACATAACAACATACATAACAAGCCTTTCCAGGTCAGCAGACAAGTGGACTGTCTTGTACTATTGCTTCCCATGCTGTAGGCTTCTACTAGATTACAAGTGAGGAAAGAGACGCTATTACTGGTAGTACACAAAGCCTGCAGAATACTCAACACCTCTTTGTCCATCTGAAGATGTCCACATGCTTACCAGTGACTTGCTATACCATGAGGGAAAAGACATTCACTGAATGGCCAACAGGAATCCTAACTCGCACACAGAGTGGCGATGGTGGAGAACCAAGGAACCCTAATTCAGTTGTTATCAAAAGTAGAAGTTATATTACATACTGCCAGCTTCCTCAATACCACTTACAGGAAAAATAGTTTTGAAAAACTCCATCTGCAATTTCTCCAGTATCCACAAAACAAACAAGGTCCTATGTCTCCGAAGACCCTCAATTCAGTCAGGAAAACATCTAAAAGTGGATTTTAGACTGCATAATGTAAGGCCCATGCAATACTGCGAGTTTTTCTTTAAAGCCCATTCCCAAGAATAAACTCATCTGGAACCAAAGCACACAACACTAATCCCTACTAAGTTAGTAAGTCAGTAAGGGACACTGCTTACCAATTTTCCTGGATACTTTTTGAGTAAGCGAACCTCTGCATTTAACATTTCTTGCCTAAACATCATCAGAATGATAACAAAAATCCCATTGTGATAGTGTAGCTAAGGAACAGGAATCTACTGTATGCCACCACAGAGCATGCACTACTAAAATAAGCACAATCAATTTAGCTTTCTGAAATCACTGCACAGAGGACAGCACCTCTGATGCATATCAATTCTTCAGCAAGTTTCTCTTAGCAGTCACTTCTTTCCAGAAGTAGACAAATGCTTTGCATAGTAGGCCAGAGCCTACTATTAGCATAATGAAAAGTCCCAAGCCACGTGTTTGTTTCAGCTGTTACCTCCAATGGCATAGACCATTCCTCCGACAACAGCCACACCCAGCCCACTCCGGGCCTGATGGAGAGAGGACACCGTGGTCCAGTAGTGGCTGAAAGTGTCAAATCGCTCCACACAGCTGAGGGCTCTGCTGTCACTCCAGCGTCCTCCTTGCAGTCGGGTGTAACCTCCTAAAAAGCAAATAGAAAGGTCATGGCTGAGTAAGAGCTTCCTGCTCAATCCCATGCTCCTATAGCTAAACCATAAACAAAACAAAACAACCACAAACAAAAAGCACAGCAGCAGCAGCCATTAGCTACTTTTAGCAGGAATCAGACTTTTCCAAGTTGCGTGACTCCTCCAACACACAATGGTCACCTTGTAGGTCACGTAACTTGGGCTACTACACTTCACTGCATTGCTACTGACATGACTGTTCACATTCTCAGTGAAATGCAGAGAGCAGCCAACCGCCTTTGATATCTTAAGATGGTGTTACTTCCCACAGGGTGACACAAGAGTACACCCTCCCAAAACTATAGCATTGGTGAAAATTTCTAAATTACATGTATCCCATCAAACGAACCAGGAAGTTCTAGACTGAGAAAACTTCAACATTCAGAAGAACAAGAAGTGCAATGAAATTGCATTTGCCAGAATGTGCTTCCAACTATGGACAAACCCTCTGCTGATTTACAGCTTTCCACCCATGGCAAGTAACTTCTAAAGGCAGATCTAGGCTTTGAATAACATGTCATAATAACATGAAATGTGAATGATCCCGCTCTAATTCTAAACAGAAAGCAGGTAAGCCCTGCCCATGACAGGGGAGTTAGAATTAGATGATCTTTAAGGTGTCTTCCAACCCAAACCATTCTATGAATCTATAACATTGCTATTTTTTGTATCTTCTCATTACATAAAAATAGTCCAGTATCTCTTTCAGTACTGTAATGTGAGATACTACTTCATCATTTGTTTTACAAGGTTCAAACAGCCACATTCTAACCTACTGCATAAAGGTACTTCCTGGCTTTCCTCCGGGGACGACCTTTAGAAGCTTGCAGAAAACTGCTGACCTTGTTTTCTTTGGGAGATTTACAGACTTCACAATATTCTTTCAACAGAGTTTGTAGAGCCACACGAAGGCTGAAATCTGGAATACCTTAAGGAAAAAAGGAGATTAAAAAAGGCATGGTGAAAAGTTACAGACAGCAAGCGGTAGAAAAGTTACCACATTCTCCTCAAAACAACATCCTAATTAAGATTGCATAGTTTTGTAAGACTTTTTCAAAAGCATGTTTTTAAGTGAGCTGTGCTCATTTGTTAAAAGACACAACTCATCTGGTATAAAGTCGATCTTTTCACTTCTCACGATATTAATCTAACAAAACCCATCACAATACAGCAGCTCTGTATTCAAGCGAGGCATGTGCTGATCAAACATCTGATATTCCTTCTTGCTTTTCCTCACTTACCTTCTATGTACTTTAAAAGCCTTTGCGCTGGCAGCAGAGGGAACCGAACAGGCTCCAGTACTTCCACCACGTACTTCCTTCTTTTCCCCAGATCCTTCAGAATCCACTGCATGGCAGCTACGAACACCTGGTACTCGTCCTCGATGCTCAGGTCCTCGCTGCGCAGGATCTTCACCAGCTGCTCCTTGGTGAGCGCCAGGAACTCCTCGCCGCCCTGCACCTCCAAGAAGTGCGCGTGGATGTAGCTCTCGGTGAACTCCAGCAGGTCGTGGCAGGCGATCTGCTCGGCGAACTGGAAGAGGCCGATGCAGTTGAGCGGGTCCACCTGCCCCTTGAGGAACTCGCAGCACAGCTCCACCACCTCGCTCAGCTGCAGCATGTCGGCGGCCACGATCAGCTCCTGCACGTTGTGCTCCCCGATGCTCACCACCCCTGCGGGCAGGCACAGGGCGCCTGAGCCCCGCCGTGGGACTTGTAAGGGGGCGACGACCCCCGGCGGGAGGCCACCCCGTCCCGTCCCCGTCCCCGTCCCCGTCATTACCCGTGTAGATGAAGTCCAGCAGCGTCCCGAAGATGTCCGCCTCGACGCCCGCGATGCGCACCACGTCGCGGCCGCTCTCCTTCATGCCGCCCGCCAGCAGCGCCGCGAAGTAAGGGCTGCTGGCAGCCAGCACCAGGCGGTGCACGGCGAACGCCTCCGGACCCACCTCCAGCCGCACATCGCAGAAGCTCTGCCCGGCTCGGAGCCGGTTGATCTGTGCCAGCAGCAGGCGGGCGTGCCGGTCGCAGAAGGAGCCGCTGCTGCCGCTGCTGCTCCCGCTGCTCCTCACCGCCCCGGCAGCCGCCATGGCGCTGGCTGAGGCGGCGCCGCCGCCCGCAGCCCTGAGGGGCGGCCCCGGTGCATGCGCAAAATGGCGGCGGCGCCCCCCGCGCCCTCAGGGGCTGCGCTGCTCAGCGTCCCGCTCCGTCGGTGGGTCCCCGTCACTTGGCTCTCCGGAGCCTGGTTGTCCCGTGGGCTCGTTGCCTGCTCTGTGAGAAGATTTCTTGTGTGGGGTTTCATCTGCTTTGCTCACCGCTTGTAGTGCTGAAGGGCAGTAGATTTGTGCTATATTTACCTCAGGCTCGCCTTTTCCAGCCAGTTTAAGGTGTGCTTGTGAGGGAAAAACATGGTAGTGCTGGGGGGTAGACCACAGCTGGCACCTGCCCAGGGAATTGCTGGTCCTTAGCTCACTGACCAAAGGCACAACCAGCCTGCACACTGCTTTCTGTGTGGCATCCTGCTGTGCTTGGGCCTTCCTCTTCATGCTTCATGGATGCTTCATCACTGCACCGCGTAGTAAGTACCATGATGGTCCCTGGGGTCAGAGCTGATCCTGAGGCACGGCACGCTTCCATCTTTGTGTAATTCACTGAGTCACTGCGTGCCTGGGCACTGACTGAGGGAAGAGCAGCACAAACTGAGTTACACGCGCACAGTCAGTGGGTCCGGCAAAGCCAGCACTGATTCAGAGACAAAAGCATCCCTCCTGAGTTTTCCACAGCCATTCGAGCAACGTGACATGCAGCCAAAGCAAAAAGCAATCAGAGAGCCTCTTGGAACACTTCCATATCTATTTATTGTGAGAATGGGAAAGAAAAACATGTCTGCTTACAGTTACAATGGTCATGGCCCCTCAGGCTTTTCTCATGATTCTGCATTTCATTGTAATAACTTTTAAATGTGCTTCTAGAAGGAATCTGAACTGTGATACTCCCTGGGGCCTGTTGGTTTCTCCATTCATCAGCATTTTATTCTTGACATTATAATGGTAAAATTACCTTTCAAGCTGGTCTTAAAAAAATACTCACAGAAAATATAGACCTAGATAGAAAAATAAGGTTTTTGCAAGCACACACAGATGGATGTGTGCTGGTATGAGGCAACGTAAATTTGGAGCTCGGCTAACAAATACTTTGAGATTTTTCTTTCATTGATGAATCAGTAAAAGAAACCAGACCCCTCTTTGCGCTGACATTTTATTCATCGGAAGTGGCCTGTGAGTAAAAGGCTTACAATTCTCCTAAATGCCAGTGGCTCAGTTGCAGGCTGATGTCAGCTGTTAGACACTTAGCCAGCACTAGGATTTCACACCATAGCGCCAAATTTGCAGACACAGAAGAGCTTTGCTGAGACTGCTGATTTTGCCTCGAAGGCCTGTCCTATACGATATTAATGTGGCTGGATGGTTCTACATCCTGAAGAGGGCACTGCTTCAGCGTATTTTTTTTATAACCGCACAGAAGCCATACAAGATGGAGCTAATGCTCCTGTATACTGTTATGTATCTCCTAAAACAAGCTGTAGATTTTCAGGAATAAATCTGAAAGTACTTTTGACAGTGTGAAATTATACTGTGTAGCGAGGAGCCTTTTGATTAACACACACCAAAGAATGACAACTTATTAGAGTGAAGGAGTTAAAATGTCTTTTATTTTAATTTAATAGACCCCTAACATGATATTTGTCAATAAACCAGCTGAGTGCTGACTGACATATGGGACAGGCGACACAAAAGGCATGCTCACTGCTCCTCTGTGTGCACCACTGCCCATGCTTGCACAGAAATGCTGCCGTCACGGTACCAAGACCCCTCAGTGGGATAATCTGACAGACAAGCTACTCAGGCTTCCTCTTGAAAAAAACCTGTGCTGTGCCAGAGCACCAGGAAGGATTGCAGTCCTTCTCACGTTATCCCGCAGAGTCCTGTGGCTGCTCAGATTTCCCTGGCTGAAGGCTTCTCTGGAAAACCTTTCCAGATGCCTGGGCAGTGTTCTGCTGAGTAAGGTGCCTGTGCTCCCTCTCTCAAATCCTGCAGATGGTGCTGTCTCTACAGGATGGTACTTTCTGAACGTGCAGCAAAAATGGGTGGCTAAAAGGTATTACTTGTGTGGGTGTTGCAGTTCTCTGTCAAAGGAAGGTCTTTGTTAGGTAAGATAATTATTATTTTTTCCGAACTCTGTAAAGATGGAAAGCTTTTAGTATCAAAAAACTACAAGAAAAAATAATTGATTTGAAATGTTGCCTTTCTGCCTCCAGTGAAAAGCCTTTCCATTGTACCTATAGCTTTGGGGATCATTTTGACATAGCATTCAAGCAGTATCCCCGAAGTGATCCTTATGAGGGTTGTCTGCTAAAGTTCTCTGTTGCAGAGGAGACGGGAAACTCATACCTTGGCTATTTGCAGGTATAACAAACCCTGTGGGATGTTTTATGATAGGGAATCCCTTTCCATGCAAGTCGATCAGAATTTGCCAGGTCAAATTCCTCCCCCATTTCCAATGGGAATGAACTCTTCACTTCCTGTGCCAAACTGCAGAGTATATCTGGACTTTGTCCTCTGCACTAATCTGTTGTAATCTTTCAGTGGTATGGCCAGTTGCAATCTGCCTTTTCAGTTACTGTTTTTCAGCTGTTCTTTTGTTACCCACTGTAGCTACTACTTGTATTTTAATGTTCTTGCCCATATTTTAATGCACTTGACCTATCTGATGAGAGGTGTTGGACAGCCTCACTACAAAGGAAAGAAGCTTACTCTATGCTTTGGTGTCCAGGTCACAAAACCCACAGAAGCGACAACCATTTTTGTTCCACTTCCTTACATTTCATGAGAACTTGAACTCAAACTTCTCCCAGGGAAGTTGCAGAAGTACAGAACCATCAAGAGCTTATGAGGAGTAGAAATACCTGTAGTGCACTAAGCTACACTTCTTACACTTCCAAAATATCTTCTCTCTGTTAAGGCCTAAATTTGCCCACGTGTCACATTTACCCTGGATGCCATTGCATGCACAGGGCAATGATGCAGATCAGCAGTCTCTGCCAATTTCTTTTATTTATTTATTTTTTTTTTAGAGGAGTTACCTGCTGCATGAGTCTGCTGCCTCTGGCAGGCTAAGATGGGAGAGGCTCCTGGAGTTCACTTTCATGCAACATGGACAAGCAAAGAGGCTCCCTGGCTACTCTCAAGGTATTTCTCGAAAGACAGAGTGGTGGATAACCCCTTATCACCCCCATGGGACTGGTTATCATGTTGTCTACTCGCAGTCGAAAGCCTCTAATAAGCCACAGGCACTAGATTCTAATTAGATACCTGCACAAACCTGTTGTCTACTTAGGTGTACGTAGGCTTTAGTGGCTGAAGAAACTTCCCTTCAGGGTCTGGATGTTTCCCGTCTTAGTGGGAAAAGGCGTTGTGCTTTGCAGTGAAATAATGCATTGTCCAGACTTAAGCCAGATATGAGAAGACTCTCTTGGCAGGTTTGGGCCACACCCAAGAGCTATTACCTTTCTTCCCCTGCGAATGAATGAATCCTGACAATTATTTGTGTGTGTGTAGGGTAGAGATCTGAACTAGAGCTGATCAAAGATGGAGAGCAGAAGGGGCCTTCAAAGCTAGCCTTTCTGCACAGGTAGCCCCAGGATACACTGTTTACGTGAAAACAAAGCTTTCACACGACCAGCAAGGTGGTGATATCTCTGCCCATTTATCAGCTGAACAGTTAGTTACTAGAAATTGTACAGCTCATTGAAGTGCCTTCCTTTTCCTGTCCTGCTCGTCTTTAGAAGCCTTTGTGAATGCTTTTGTCTCTTTTGGAATTAGTAATTAAGTTCTTTTCTTACTCTCACTGCAACATGGCTTCAGGTAAAGGTGACACTGAAGTAACTGCATGATATCACGGTTGTCAGTCCAGACAGATTTAGCATTCTTAAAGTGCTTATTGAGAAACTCTCACGAGCATCCACTTTGCACCACAGGTATGGAGTAGCAGGCTGTCCAGTTGGATGGGGCGATGCCCTTTGATGCCCAGCCATGCCCAGCGGAGCCACTTGGCAAACAGCAGAATTGGGGAGCACACCTGAGCTGCAAGAGCCTCCAGAGAGAATGTGGGAGTCCTGGTGAGTAACACACAGCAGATAATGGCTTGTGGTTTCAGGAGCACTGGCAGTATTTCAGCGCTGTGCTGCAGGGTTCACCTTCACAAGTAGTGTGGATAGAAAGGTGATTGGTGTGTGACCCAAAATAACCCAAAAAAGAAAAACCTTTTCAGTCTTAAAGTATGCCCTAGCAATGAAAGGATGGTGTCATCTGACCTACTTGTGTGGAGAGGTTTGTGTTCTGGGTACACTTACCTAGCAGGAAGCTTGGAGGAATTCCAGTGAAATGGGAATGTTGTGCAACATGCGTGGCTCTAGTTCCCCGCTGAACTAGAAGAAGATATTCAAAGATTCTTGTTTAAGCCATTGGTCTGGAGCAATTCCAGGCAACTTGATTTAAAGTAAACATCCTGAATGCAGTGTGTCAGATACTAGCACAATATTGTTTTAGTCTTTCTCATTTCTCCTGTGGGAATAATCATTTCATGAAGAAGGAAAGTGATCTAATGAGAGAATTAACTCAAGAGCTTGAACATTGAATTAATCACAGCTGTCTGAGAGGGGAACCAAGGCAAACTCCATAGAGAGCTTGCTACATTTCTAAGGAAGGAGGCCAAAAGAATACTAAGACTTGGAGAGCAGTTGGTGATCAAAACAGAGGCAGAAGAGATATGTTTTTAGTAGCTAAAGGGAAGCAAAACTGTGCAGCAGGGAGAGTTTCCTCCTCTCATTTCTCTGATGTTAAATCTTAGTAGGAAGGATCTCTGCAACCTTTTCTTGGAGGTGTTGGAAGGTGCTTGATGTTGGGGTCTGATCCTCACTGTGTTCTTACACTTACCTGAAGTAGATGATTGATTTCATAGCTTGGCTTTTTTTTTTTACTGTCTGTCTAGAGTTGTCCTGCAGCTTCACACTGACCTTCTCACTAAGGTGACTTTATTGAAGGTGCAAGTCTTTTTTTAACAAAAGGAAAAATGAGTTGTGCTAGAGAATTGTCAGTCTTCAGGAACATGGGTCTTTTAGTCTTGCCATTAGTAAAGTTTGGCCATGTTTCAATTTGTAATCCAAATCCTAATGCTTTTTGGACTCCTTGCTTAACTCTTCTTGTCTAAATCACCGTGTTCCCTAGGATAATAAAGTAAAGCAAACACACAACAGACCTCTGAGCTGTCCAGAGCATGTGACAAATTTTAAATAGAATCCCAGTTATGCAAAACTTTTGAACAGAAAAAAAAGGGAGGAAAATAACCATAAAATGTGCACAAATTCCACTAGTTTTATTCCCTTTATTTCACATAGTCATTCTCCTAGGAAGTATTGTACTTGTATTGACAGAGCTTGGGAGCTGATTTCATTGAGAAGATGGATAGAGTTAAACTCTGCCTATAGCCATCACGTTCCACGGCCTGTGCATGTAGTGGGGTCATTCCAGAAGCAGTGCCTCCGTGGAATGTGAGATATGTCACGAACTCTGTAGCTGTTAGTAGGATGGCTGCAGGTCCTGAATCTGCTTGCTCAGTGGGTCAGGACATCCAGGGCTCTGCATATACTGAAGCCTTAAAAGATAAAAACTTCCACAGTGTAACATTTCAGCTGTAAATGGCAAAGGCGGCTGATACTCATCCCAGCTCCTTGGCCGTTCTGCTGTTCCCTTGCCATTTATTTCCCTGATTGTATTTTTCCTTGACTTGCCTTTCTTCAGTGCAAGCACTCTTCATTTTCCTTTACTGAATTTCACCCTGGGGGGCTTGGACTAGTTCTCTGGTCATTTTTACTCTAATCTTGTCCTGCAAAGTGCTTGCAAAATGTCTGCTTCATTGTCCACATGAACAAAAGCATTGACTAGAATCAGAACAGATCCTTTGGAATTCCTAGCAAAGGAATGTAAAGACAACATACTCACAGTAATATTCTAATATATTTGTAGCCAGCTGAGTGCCTCTGTTATGCTGATTTTGTTTGCACTTTGTTTTTCTCTGTTTCCTTATCAGGATGTCACATTGAATGTTATAAAAATGCTAACAAAACATTTAAAAGGCTATATCTCATCTACACCCATTTATTTTTTAGCAGGCTGGTTGTATCTCAGTAAAGGAAATTAGCCTGTTTTGAGGTTATTTGTCTGAAATAAACTCATAATGATAATTTTTTATCATTTTGTTATCATTCAAGTTGCATGGAAATACGTTGTTTAATAGCTTGTTCTACTGTGAGCTTTTTTGTGATATTGTATTTCATAAAATTCCTTTTATAGTTTTTACATAAAAGCTTTTGTCCAAGGAATACCTTACAAAGCACATTTGCAGGGTGAAATAAGGCTCTGAAACAACTTGTTTGTGCTAGTCCTAGTTCTGCAATACTTGCAGTGATCAGATAAGTTTCTTACTGACTCTCTCTCAGTGACTCAGTTTGCTTCTCACTACTTATCTTCCTCTCAGGTATATTTTGAAGATTAATTAATATTTATAAAATGCTCTTAGTGAAACCTGCACATGAAAAATGCAACAGAAGTTGAAAATGTCATCGTTATCGATGCTTATTATTTTTTAAAAGGGAAGCTATATTGCAATCAATATCAATGGAGAATTATGAACTCTAAAATAGACCGGGGACTCTAGAGACAATACAGGAAATTGTGGCTGGCACAACTAAACTGAACGTGAAAACAATTGACGAAGAAAGCCTTCCACCGGCACAAGATGCAGAGGGCAGGTTTTGTTAATAATGCCTAGTACTGAAATAAATGTAGGATTAAGTATTTGCATTGCAGAAGGATGATGAAGTTCTTTCCAGTCACCGAGTAGTTAAAGAGGAGGTTCATCATCATGAGTAACATTAATAATTTTTAAGCAGCAGGCTCAGATAACCTATACTAAGGAGCTCTAATGGATTTGTCCAGAGAGATCTCATCTGTAATAACTCTTGGCATTTCAGTGAAATTCCAGAAGAGTCATAGTATTGTGCTAATATTTAAGGAAAGAAAACTAAATAAATGGAACAAGCAGGGTGACCCAGTTAGCTGTATTATGGTTAACATGACACCAGGCAGCACTGTACAAAAGGTGGTGCATGGCCAGGTAGCAGGTAAGTCAATAATTGGCACTCGTTTTTATTGTTATCAACGCTGTCATGGTGAAAGTTAATTTATTGATAAAGTTTGTAGGGCTTGTTCCAACAGGTTACTGTAGAAACGTATTTCACAACATGTTTCACAAAGCATTTGATCTTCCATTGTGACATTTTGATAAAGATCTTAGTTGAGCGTAGTGTCACTAAAAACAGAGATGTTTCAGTTGTCTGGGCTAGTGTGGGTCCGGAAGCAGGGCATGTGCTTTTCTGCTGTGATGCATAGAAGGCACCAAATAAAGTCAGCATTAGCTGGGGTTGTCTGCAGTCATCAGTAGCTTGGATCTTTCTTTTCACTGGTGTGAAAGCATGCACTTCACTGCATGCTTTTGTAGTTTGTTTTTTAGTGGTTTGTGTTATTTTTTTCCCTTCATGCTAATCTTTTTGTAAATCTGAAATTACCACTGATAACATTTCTGAGGGACACAGAGATTGTCTAAGAGGTAAGTTACTGAAAGCACACAGCAGATAGAGCAAATGGTGGTGTAGGAAGGTTGGTCCGTTCACACAAAGGGTTTGTAGTACAGCCTGGTTCAAAGCAATACACCTGAGAATTAGGATCGCAGTTCAAACTTCTGGGATAAGGGAGCTGGAAGAGCATAATGCCAAAAAATCATAACACAGAGACACTGGAGGCATGCAAAGAATCAGAATGATGCTCTTGTAGACTTAGGCAGTGCAATTTGGGAAGTGTGTGAAGAGGCAGGGATGTGGTCTTCTTTCTGTAGCTCACCCTTAGTGCTGCCATAGAGTATGGTTTTGATGTGTACAATTTAGGGTGTATATTCGTGACTGGAGCAGGTACAGAGAAGAAATGTATGTATGGTCTGAAGGCAGAGGGAATGTCTTATAATGATATGTAAACTGAATGGAATGAGCTGTTCAGAAGGGTTTAGCAAAAAAGCAGTGGCTGAAAGCTGAAACATGACAAATATTAAATTAGTGATAATCTTTAACACTGAGGAAACAAGTTGTCAAGTGCAATCTCTTCATTGTTTGAAATTTTAAATCAAGACTAGAGCTATTTCTGGAAGATAACTTGTATTTGAACCAAACATACCTGAATCAATCAGAGTACCCAAAGCATAGGGGACAGTTTCTGTGTTAGGGACAACTGCGTAGGTTGACTTTTTGGCTTAGCAAAGAGATGGCTTACAAGAAATATGGTCACCCTGCAAAATCACCGGGGTCACAGAAGAGTTAAATGTCTTGCTCAGGGTACATCGTGAGTCAGTGGGAAAGTTATGAATGGGAGCTGAATGGTCTTGGTCTCTTAGCTGCTGTAGGATCCTGTGCTGTTCAAGAGCACGCATGGCCAGTCTCATGGGTCATCCTGAAACTAAGCATGGAAGAACTTTGTTGAGAGTGGTTTCAAGGGTGACTTAGCTCGCTAGAGCAAAGAATAAAGGGGGATGGAAAAAATAGAGCAGAGATGCAGGCAGAGACAATTGTGCTAAATTTAACAATATAAAGGAAATCTTTGGCAGTGGTGGTACAGAAACTGTTGTTATGCTAGTGAAAGGGGGTGATTAATTATTGAATTAATTTTGCACAGCAAAACAGAAAGGAAAGTTTCCGCTCTGACTCAGGTGCCTCTGCAACCAAGAAGGGCAGGAAAGAACAAGGTGAAAGGGGAAAAAGGGCTGGCAGAGCTTAACAGAAGGCTGAATTTTTGTTCTTACTTTTCAGACTGTAGAACTAACAAACTGAGTAGGCGTAAAATACAGATGTGACAAAGCATCATTCTAAAAACAATGCAATACTGGTAGGAATTATTCCATTGTTAAATATACCGAGAAGCTGGTTAGGAGCAGAGCGTGACCTCATGGGTCTAGCATTACCATTGCAGCTGTGTGAAACCACTAAAGTAAACAAACAGCCCAGTGAAGAGTGTG